CTACACGTTGAAAATCTCAAACAGCGTTTCGGAGAAATTCTCAGCCATTGCAAGATGACAATCGTAGATTCCACACCGAATCCGAGAAGGAGCAGCTCCTCCGACGATGGTGCTACTGCTCCGTTGTTGCCGAGATACAGAGACGACGAAGTTGGTTTCGATGAATTCAACGGAGCTTCGTTTAGTGGAGCAGTTTTCAATATCTCCACAACCATCATCGGCGCCGGAATCATGTCTTTGCCGGCGACAATGAAGATCCTTGGCCTTGTTCTTGGTATCGCAGCCATCGTTTTCATGGCCTTCTTGACGGATGCATCCGTTGAGCTGTTGCTCAGGTTTAGCAAGGCCGGGAAGAAACGATCATATGGCGGTTTAATGGGTGATTCCTTTGGAAAATGTGGAAGAATTTTGCTGCAAGTTGCTGTTCTAGTCAACAACATCGGTGTGCTGATCGTTTACATGATCATCATCGGTATGATCTTCTCTTCTCACACGCTTATTTTGGTATCCAAATTCCGCTTTGAACAAGATTCTTTGCTTGATGATTGCTAGTTCTTGACATGATCTTGTTGCAAGTTGTTGTTTTAGTCGACATCATCGGTGTTCTTCTGATCACTTACATGATCATATGCTTTTCGTGTACTGAAATGCCATTTGGTACAAGATTCTTCGCTTGTTGATTGCTAGTTCTTGATATCTCTTGATAGTTTCCTATATAGGGCATTGAACTTGTCTTAAAAGTTAAATGTGAAAACCAAACCCTAACATTTTCTTGCGGTAATGTTGTTTGGAAGGCGATGTGTTGGCGGGGAAGACATCAGATGGAACCCACCATGCGGGAGTTCTTGAAGGATGGTTCGGGGACCATTGGTGGAACAGCAGAACTTCCGTACTTCTCGTCACAACTCTGTTCGTATTCGCTCCATTGTCATGCTTTAAACGAATTGGTTAGTGCTCTGTTTCTCCCCTCGACACGGCTTTAACTTCTGAAACATACTTGTTATGCCATAAATGTCTAAAGACTGGTGACAACAGTTCTGGTTTGTAGCAATGGTTCTCGGTTGTTGTTTAGTGCAATTTGGGTGTGTGGGATTAGTGGTTGGGTAATATTACTCAAATAACCCACTTCGGTCGCAGTAATTTCAGTGTACACCACCAAATTTTTTTTTTTTTTTTTTCAATTTTAACCCACTTTTCGGTTAGAAAAGTCCGAAATACCCTTTTCGTTTTATTTTTTGCGACCTTATTACGACTAACATATAACTGATATACAACTAAAATAAGACAGATAATTTTTTTGCCACCTTTTTTAGAATCAATTGTAACTATATTTAGAATTAATTACGAAGTCGTAATAACGAAGTTGTTTTCGAACGGATAAAAATAGCGTATTCATTAAGGATAATTTCGTCTTTTCAAAAAAAAAAAGTGTTATGTTTTTTCTGGTGTAAACCTAGGTGCGAAGGAATTGGGTCATTTTGATTAAAATTATCTAGTGGTTGGGCATGGGTACCCGAATCAGCTAGCACCCGAAATTCAGGAACCCAGTGCGAGCTTGGGTGACCTGCCGGCAAGAACCCAAGCCACGGATTCAAGTTCGGGTTTTGTTGGTCGTTTACCTGTATTCGTGGTAACCCAAGCCGATGGGGAGAAAGGAAGGGAGGGCCAGTGTGCGGGCATGAGGCCACCACGAGAAGGGTGCGAGATGCGCTTAGGGTTTCACCTCGAATGATTTTCTTAAAACCGGAGATTAGGTTTCCGTTTCCTGAACTTTCGAGTTTCGACTCCCTACTGTTTGGGAGCTCAGAGACCGAGGTCGATTTTGCCGTCTCGCCTCCCCTCGGACCAGATACGCTTCAACCCCTCTCAAATCTTTCTCTCTTCTCGAATCTCGCCCTCTCGGCTGAGCATCGCCCCCCTCTCATTTACCTTTGCCGGCTGGATACCCGAGTCCTTGGCGTATCCCGCGGGTACCAAAGTCTGAGAATCCGGCAAGATCGATTGAGATACCCGAGCTGGCGAACTCAGGGTCAGGTAAGCCGGAAAACTCGGGTATCCAAGCCATGCCCACCCACCACATAGAACCACTGTAAGTTTTTAAGTGTTTGTCTCAAAACATGTTTTGGGGAAAAAAACAGGAACATGTACGTAAATCTAGACACAGGACCTGTATTGTGAAACGTGAACGCCAGTTCATACGCCATGCCTTTGTGTACAGTCAAATCTGGCGTGGTCTCATGATAAATTCTGCTTGCTTTTCAGATTCTTTACGATTCACATCCGCATTGTCGGTGGCCCTAGCCGTCGTTTTCCTCGTCATAACGGCCGGAATTGCTATCACGAAGTTGATCAAAGGCGGTGTAATGATGCCGAGGTTGCTACCCGACGTGACCAACTTATCGTCGTTCTGGAATCTCTTCACCGTCGTACCAGTTCTCGTCACCGCATATATCTGCCACTATAACGGTATGAGAACTAAAATACTGCTTAAAGTATAACAGTCTTATAGAAGAAAGTCTTAGCTTTTTTTTACGAAAGAAACGATGCTAAATCCTATGGCTGGACAAAGACAGACCCGAAACTCGGGTACCTTACTTGTTCCACGGTTTGGGTACCGAAATAAGCATTATATGAGATCGGGTCATAACGTGGAGGAAACCCGAAAATCAGGTTTGGATTTGAGATCGGGTATTACCCATGATGAAAACATATTTTTTTTTTGCAGTTCACAGCATACAGAACGAGCTCGAAGACTCCTCCCAGATAAAACCCGTCGTCCGATCCGCCCTTACTTTATGCTCGTTCGTTTACATAATGACGAGCCTTTTCGGGTTCCTCTTATTCGGGGACGACACTCTCGACGACGTCCTCGCCAACTTCGACACCGACCTCGGAATCCCGTTCGGGTCCATCCTAAATGACGCTGTCCGGGTCAGCTATTCTGCTCACCTCATGCTCGTTTTCCCGATCGTCTTCTACCCTTTGCGGCTTAACATCGACGAGCTCGTTTTCCCGACCGCCCCCTCGTTAACTTCCTCCAATCTGAGATTCGGTTGCATCACTGCAAGTCTCATCACTGTAATATTCTTGGGCGCAAACTTCATTCCCAGCATATGGGACGCCTTCCAGTTTACAGGAGCAACTGCTGCTGTCTGTCTTGGCTTCATATTCCCGGCCGCTGTTACTCTCAAGTAATGCTCAATCTCTTATACCTTACTAAATGCATACTTAGAGTGGATTTCGATGGGAAAATGTAGGATATAGCTTTACCATATTTGGAGTTTGGATGGTTCCTGAGTAGTTTAGGTGTTTTTTCCTATCAGAAAGATGGCATAATACATCTGAATCGGTGCCATATTAGGAGTTGATTAAGGTCTAGTATCTGAAAATTTTGGGTTTTCTAAATGGCCAGTACCCGTCCAACCCGAGAGTAGATTACCGAAATCTCTGGTACTTGCCACCGGGGGAACGGATGTAGGTTCTTCGCAGGAGAGAACCCGATATTCTAGTTCGGTTTTGGGTTTTGGCCTGGCAAGTACTCGTGTTCTGTGGGTACCCGAGCTAGAGGGGGAGAGCTCCCCCTGGCACAGTCGCACTTGTCCTTGCTGGCTGAGTATCCTTGAATACTCGAGCCATTCCCGCACCCTTGCGGGTACCTGAACCTCGCAAGGGCGAGATTCAAGAAACCCGAGGGGGCGAAAAAACTTGGGTACTGTGTCCACCCCTAAACAAAGACGATGGACGCATAATCTTTATCTCGTCATTACCCACCAAGAATGGGTTTCTTGAGCATCATCGTTCCTGC